TCAAAAGTGTGTAAAACAACCAGCTAAATCGTTTCAGGGTAATTCGGCGAGTATAAATAGGAAACAAAAATGGTATGACTTTGAATGTGAAACTGCAAGGAAGAAATCATTTAAATGGCTACAAACAGTAAAAAAAGGTGGTGATATAGCTGATTTAGAGAAATACAAAAATGTGAACAGAGAATACAAAAAGCTGTGTGATGAGAAAAGGAAGTCATATTTTAATGAAATGGCAATGTCGATATCCCAAGCAACTGATAGTAAATCATTTTGGAGTAGAGTTAAAAAAATAAATCGTGCAGATCACATAAAAGGAATTAAAGTGGACGCCGAAGCTTTGGCGGCATATTTTAAAAACCAGTTAAATAGCAATATAGTAAGCAGTTCTTTCAGTTATGCCCTGCCGTATGTAATAAATGAAGTTTTAGATGCGCCAATAAAGATTGAAGAAGTCTATGCACTGCTCCAGAATTTAAAAAATAACAAAGCCGCAGGTGAAAACAGAATTCCAGCTGAGTTTTTAAAATATGCCACGCCACAATTTATAGAGCGTATGGCTGAATCATACAATTATATATTTGAAAATGCAGTCCCACCTGATAGTTACAAAAAAGGCATAACATTCCTCCTATTTAAAAAAGGTGACCCAAATAATGTAGCAAATTATAGAGGAATATCATTTCTTAAAAAATCAACTAAAGTATTTACAACACTCCTGCATAATAGAATTAAAAATTGGGTTGATCAAAACAACATATTAAGCGAATTTCAATCTGGATTTCGAAAAGGTTACTCCACGGTAGATAATATTTTCGTCATCACTAGTGTAGCGCAAGAGTATATTGCAAAAAGCAAGAAGTTATATGTTTTTTACATAGATCTTAAAGCTGCTTTCGATACAATACAAAAAAACGTACTATTTTACAAACTTAGCCAGCTGGGTCTTTCAACAAAAATTTTGAAAATACTGCAAAGTCTATACTGGAACAATGAGTCAAGAGTATGGGACGAAAGATGTACTGCGAGATGGTTCCAAACTTGTACCGGAGTGAGGCAAGGTTGTGTCTTAAGTCCTATATTGTTTGCACTGTTCGTTGATGATTTAAGTAAATTTCTGTTTGGTGGTGTTACGATTGCCAACATGTGGCTAAAAGTACTATTATATGCTGATGATATTGTGTTGTTTGCAGATTCTCCAATAATGTTACAAAATATGATAGATGAATTAAATAGATATTGCAACTTATGGGGACTATCTATAAATACAGACAAATCAAAAGTGATGATATTTAAGAAATGTTGGCAACTCTGCCAAGATGACAGATGACAGATAAAGAAGAATTAATATTTTAATTCTGTCAGTTATTTGGAACTTGTGAAATAATAATAACTTGGAGTTTTTTGAATAAATAAATATCTAAATTATACAGATATAACAGTGGCGACGAGGATATTTTTTTTTGGAATTACATTGAAAAATATATGTACACAAAAAAAAAAATGAATCCACAAGAATTCAAGTTATTTTTCCAAGAAATGCAAAACCAACGTGCGAAAGACACCGAAGCAATGCGTGAACTTTTCAAAGAGTGTTTGCAAATGAAAGCAGTTCCGAAAACAGAAAATCCGGAGCAAACAATGGAGATTTTAGCATCGAGTCTAACGGAATTTGTTTATGATCCAGAAAATAACGTAACTTTTGAAACGTGGTATACGAGGTATGAAGATTTGTTCTTAGTAGATGGTAGCAAACTTGATGACGCAGCGAAAGTCAGGCTTCTATTAAGAAAACTCAGCACAAATGTGCATAATAAATATATGGACTTTATTTTGCCTAAGCATCCACGTGAATATAATTTCACTACAACAGTGGAGAAATTAAAACAACTGTTTGGACTCCAAAAGTCACAATTCAGCTTACGCTATAGCTGCTTACAGTTAACCAAATCACCAGATACCGACTATACTACGTACGCAGCCGAGGTTAATAAACAATGTGAAAATTTTAAATTGAATAGCCTGTCACTGGACCAGTTCAAATGTTTAATGTTCGTATTGGGGCTGAAATCGGAAGCAGACTTCGAAATAAGAACCCGAATATTGACCAAACTGGACACAGAAGCTGATACCATCAACTTGGAAAAACTTACAAACGAGTGTCAGCGTATTATTAATTTAAAATCCGACACAGCGCTGGTAGAAAATAAATCACGTGAAAATCAGGTGAATCGAGTACAAGCAAATAAGCTTAAGAACAATCACAAACCGAAAACACCATGCTGGTTTTGTGGAGCAATGCATTATGTGCGTGACTGCCCATACAAAAATTATAAATGCGAAGACTGTCACAACATAGGCCATAAAAAAGGTTATTGCAAAGCGAAAAATTTATCAAAATCAAAATGCAATAGCAACAACAAAAATAATAGCAATGGTAAAGCAAAAACATTTTCACAGCCACGATCCAACAGTATATACACAACGAACAGCATCACAGCTTCACAGCGTAAATTTGTCCACGTTAAAATCAACAATGTGCAAATCAAATTGCAATTTGATACTGCATCGGACATAACTATCATTTCAAAATTTAATTTCGACAAATTAAATATTTTAAATACAATGGAAGTACAACCAGAATCTGCTAAAAGTGCAACTGGAAACTTACCATTGTACGCAAAATTTACATGTGATGTGCAGTTAAAAGACACAATTAGAACACTTACGTGCTTCGTTACAACGATCGATTTGAACGTATTCGGATTGGACTGGATAACTGCTTTTCAACTTAGCGATATGACGCTTAACGCTATTTGCAGCCAAATTTCAACAACAAAACAGGCAAGTAATGTTTCAATAAAGTCGTCAAATTGCAAATTTCTTCCGGAAAAATTATTTCCAGAACTTTTCGATAATGCTATGGGTCTTTGTAATAAAACTAAGGCACATTTAATTATTAAACCAAACTGTCAACCTGTTTTTCGACCTAAGCGCCCGGTAGCATACGCAGTTCAACATTTGGTTGAAGAAGAAATCAAGCGACTTCAAGATCTCGACATTATCGCACCCATCAATTACTCTGACTGGGCCGCACCAATCGTAGTTATCAAAAAGCCAAATGGTAGCATTCGTATTTGCGCTGATTTCTCAACTGGTCTTAACGACGCGCTTGAATCTTACAAGTATCCACTACCGCTTCCAGAGGATATTTTTGCAAAAATTAGCAATGCAACAGTATTTAGTCATATAGACCTTTCGGACGCTTTTCTCCAAATCGAAGTTGATAGCAAATCGCAAGAACTTCTCACAATAAACACGCATCTAGGTTTATTCAAATACAAGCGTATGGTTTTTGGCGTCAAAACTTTTCCGGCAATTTTCCAACAAATTATGGATAAAATGCTTGCGGGCTTAGATTGCGCAGCAGCTTACATTGACGATATCTTTGTCTCAGGTAGAAACCAACAAGAGCATGACAACAACTTACATGAAGTTCTACAACGTATTTATCAATACGGGTTTAAACTCAAGATCGCAAAATGCAATTTTTCAGTTCCTGAAATTGCTTACTTGGGATATATTGTCAGTAAAGACGGCATTCGCCCAGATCCAAAAAACATTGAAGCAATCAAGACAATGCCTGCGCCAACCAATCAATCCGAACTTAGATCACTTTTAGGTGCTATCAATTTTTATGGAAAATTCATAAATCACATGCGCAAATACCGAGGACCATTAGACGAACTACTTCAAAACAACAAGCAGTGGCAATGGACGGAACTTCATCAACGCTGTTTGGATGGTTTCAAGCAAATTTTGTCATCAGAGTTATTATTAGCGCATTACGATCCACTAAAAAACATAGTAGTCGCTGCAGATGCATCTAACTATGGGCTCGGAGCTTGCATTTTTCATGAAGCTGACGACGGTTCAATGAAAGTAATATGTCATGCGTCCAGATCACTAACGCCCACAGAAAAGCAATATAGCCAAATAGAAAAAGAAGCTCTTGCGCTTATTTTCGCGGTTACGAAATTTCACAGAATGGTTTTTGGGAGAAGATTCAAACTTCAAACAGATCATAAGCCTCTTCTAGCTATATTTGGTGATAAAACGGGAATTAAGGTGCATCAAGCAAATAGACTTCAACGTTGGGCAATTAAACTGATTGCATACGACTTCGAATTAAAGTTTATTTCAACTAACAGTTTTGGGTATGCAGACGTTTTATCACGACTCATACATAACACAATCAATCCTTCAGAAGACTATGTCATCGCTGCAGTAGAGTTTGAAATTGAAAGTAAACAAATTTTACATAACTCACTTGATAAGCTGCCGCTTACCAGCAAAATGATTACTTACGAAACAGCTAAGGACAAGGTTTTAGTTAAAATTCTCGAATATGTAACTGAAGGATGGCCATCAAACTGCAACAACAGTGAGTTAAAAGCTTACTTTAACCGAAAAAACGACATATGTATAGTTGACGGATGTTTAATGTTCGGACAACGCATTATTATACCTCAAATTTTCCGAAAGCGCATTCTTAAAGAAATTCACCGAGGTCATCAAGGCATAGGTCGTACTAAAGCCATCGCACGGAACTACGTTTATTGGTCAAATATCGATCACGATATTGAAGCAATGGTGAAAAGTTGTTCAAATTGTGCCGCAGCAGCTAAAATGCCCACAAAAACAACTTTACATCCTTGGCCAAAACCTTCTGATTCTTGGAACGGCATATTGATTATGCAGGACCAATAGATTCATACTACTATTTGGTCGTAATCGATGCGTTCTCAAAATGGCCAGAAATTATACAAACAAAATCTATAACAGCAACTCAAACAATTTCCAGCTTGAAAGAAATTTTCGCTAGATTTGGGTTACCGAAGACAATAGTTTCAGATAATGGTACTCAATTTGTGAGTCACCAATTTCAACAGTTTTTAGCGGAAAACGGCATTAGTCATATACGAAGCAGTCCGTACTATCCCATGTCAAATGGACAAGCCGAAAGGTTTGTGGATACTTTAAAGCGAGCACTCAAAAAGTTAAATGGGAAGGGGGTAACTGCTGAAAATCTTCAAACATTTCTACAAGTTTACCGATCAACTCCGAATAAGCAAAATGAGGACAGTAAATCGCCAGCTGAAGTTTTACTAAAAAGAAAAATCCGTATTAAACTTGACTTGATTAAACCAACGCTGGTGTCAGACCCAAATGTCAAGTTTAAAAACAAGTGCGATACACAACTCAAAATGAAAGCGCAATTTGACAAAAGGCATGGTGCAAAGCCAAAGTTTTACGAAAAACAAGAGCTCGTTTATGTCAACATATTCAAAAACAAACACTTTGAATGGACAAAAGGTAAAATAATCGAACGCATAGGTAACGTCATTTATAATGTTCGCTTACAAAATGGCAAACTTATTCGTGCACATGCCAATCAAATTCGTGACCGAAAAGATCAAGAAAATGAGTTATCTTTAGAAATATGTACTTCCGAAGATATCGCCAACGAAAAGTGTTTAGTTGATGCATTTGGCCTCTACGAAACAACAGATCAATCTTTCAACAAAGTAACCGAGATTGCAATCCCTCAAACTGAGAAGCACAATGAGGCAGTTGTTCCGTATACCCGACCAAGGCGTACTAGACATCCTATTGACCGTTATAGACCCTAGAATCACCACATTGGAGATTTAATCTCAAAAGGGGAGGTGTTGGCAACTCTGCCAAGATGACAGTTGACAGATAAAGTAACATTTACATTTTAACATTTGAATTCAGTCAGTTATTTTGAACTTGTGAAATAATAATAACTTGGAGTTTTTTTGAATAAATAAATATCTAAATTATACAGATATAACAGAATGTAATAGCAACTCTATAAGAAAGCATCGCACAGTGACTGTCTGCTCTAAGTAGCCATAGGTAATTTTTAGATCCCTTTTCTGTTCCATATGTTTATTAATGTTTAAGTTCTTACTATTAGGCTGCTTGTAAATTGAATTGAGTCATGTATGTATTGATATATGTTATATTAATCATAGTAGATTATTTAAAATATATATAATAATTGTACCTCATTTAAAATATATGTAATTATAAATATATGTATTTGTAAATTATTAATATATTAATATCGTGGATTATTAATGTATTAATATCGCAGGTTAATTTTAGATTAATCGTAAATAATCGTAAATTAATCATAGATTAATAATACAGATCAGGGCTCTCCAGAACAGACATGTTCGCGGTCCAATACAAATTACTGTATTGTAGGGTCACAGAAACAAGTACATACTTAATAAAACTTTAGTTTTATTAATTAATTAATTTTAATTTATTTTTTTTGCAATATGTCATCATAATAAAAAATATAATATTACCAAAATATATCAAGCATAATTGTGATAGATATCTATTCTTATTTTAAATTTTTTTAATAATTGCCATAAAAAAATGTCTTAATATTGCAAAAAGTAGTTCATATATTGTTCCAATTTTTTTTTTTTTTAAAGCAATGACTTTTTTTGTATTTTGCAGTTTTTTGTCAATAAAAGTTGAATTTGTCACAACGAAATCAACAAACGCTTTCACTAATTTTTGCTTTAAACATAATTTTACCAATAAATAATTTCAAGTAGTTCATGCTTTCTTATTTTTTAATCATATTGAAAAAAAAATTAATTATTTTTATTTACGAACCTTGGCTAAATTTTGCAATTAATTATACACTCAATTTAAAAATAAGTTATACAAGTCTTTAATTTCAAAATTAGGTCAACCTATTAAAATATAATCTCACACAAAGCATAAATATACTTTTTATTTTTTTTTATATAAAAATTATTACAGGAATATATATTATAATATAAAAAAAAATTGTTACAGAAATTTAAACAACAAACGATAATAATCCTTATTATGTTATATTAAATCAACAAAATTATTATATATAATATATATCACTAAATTTTCTATACAACTATTTATATTTTCAATATTTTCTAAGATAATAAATAATGTATTTAACAATATTTATTACTTCTTATTTATTACAAAA